GCACGGTTGGGGTCTGTCCCAGCTGCAGGAGGCCGCCCGGAGCTGGGCCCGGGAGCAGCAGCAGCTGCGGATGCGCCTGCGGGAGCGGGAGCACGGCCTGGCCCTGGTGAGCACCCGGTGTCACCAGTGTCCCCAGTGTCCCCAGTGTCCCACAGTGTCCCCAGTGTCCTACAATGTCCCCCGTGTCCTACAGTGACCCACAGTGTCCCCAGTGTCCTACAGTGTCCCCAGTGTCCTACAATGTCCCCAGTGTCCTACAGTGACCCCAGTGTCCCCAGTATCCCAAATGTCCCCAGTGACCTACAGTGACCCCCATGACCCCAGTGTCCTACAGTGACCTACAGTGACCCCTGTGACCCCAATGTCCCCAGCGTCCTACAGTGTCCCCAATGTGCCAGGTGTCCCCCAGTGTACCAAATGTCCCCAGCGTCCCACATGTCCCCAGTGACCTGCAGTGTCCCCAGTGACTCACAGTGTCCCCAATGTCCCCAATGTCCTACAGTGACCCCAATGTCCCCAGTGTCCCCAATGACCCACAGCATCCCCAATGGCCCCAGTGACCCACAGTGTCCCCAATGTCCTACAGTGACCCCAGTGTCCCCAGTGTCCCAGGTGACCTACAGTGACCCCCATGACCCCTGTGTCCGACAGTGACCCAATGTGCCTGGTGTCCCCCAGTGTCCCCCAGTGTCCCCAGTGTCCCCAGTGTCCCCAGTGACCCACAGCATCCCTGGTGACCCCAGTATCCCCAGTGTCCCTAGTGCTTCCAGTGTCCCCAATGTGCCCAGTGTCCCCCAGTGTCCCCAGTGTCCCAAATGTCCCCAGTGGCCCACAGTGTCCCCAATGTCCCCAGTGTCCCCAGTGTCCCGTGTTACCAATGTCCCCAGTGTCCCCTGTGTCCCCCAGTGTTCCCAGTGTCCCCAGTGACCCACAGCATCCCCGGTGACCCCAGTATCCCCAGTGTCCCTAATGCTCCCAGTGTCCCCAATGTCCCCAGTGACCCACAGCATCCCCAGTGTCCCCTGTGTCCCCAGTGTTCCCAATGTCCCCAGTGACCCACAGCATCCCCAGTGTCCCCTGTGTCCCCAATGTCCCCAGTGACCCACAGCATCCCCAATGTCCCCAGTATCCCCTGTGTCCCATGTTACCAATGTCCCCAGTGTCCCCAATGTCCCCAGTGACCCACAGCATCCCCAATGTCCCCAGTATCCCCTGTGTCCCATGTTACCAATGTCCCCAGTGTCCCCAGTGTTCCCAATGTCCCCAGTGACCCACAGCATCCCCAGTGTCCCAGTGTCCCCAGTGTTCCAGGTGTCCTGCAGTGTCCCCCGCCCAGCGCAGAGAGGGGTGCTGGATTTCCTCCTCCCCCATAAATGCCCTCCCTGTGCCCCCAGAAGCTTCCGGCCCTTTCCGTGCCCCCCTGGGCGCTGCCCCCCCTGCCCTGACCCCGCAGCGCCGCCGACGCCCTCGGAGCCGCTTTCCCATGGAGCGGAGACCAAGCAGAACATTCCAGAACACTCCAGAGGGTCCAGAACATTCCAGAGGGTCAGAGGAGCTCGGTGGGCCCCCGGGGATCCCCATCCCACCCCATCCCTCACTTTATCTCCCCTGTGGTGTAAGCGCGGCCTTGAGCCGAGGACGCGGCCCTGAGAGCGTCCCTGCTGTCCCCAAATGCCACCGCGGGGCCACCGGGATGTCCCCGGGGGGGGGTCCTCAGGGCTGGCCGTCGAGGGGCCGCAGGGTCAGCTGGATGGGCTGGTCCGGGATCAGGATGAGGTCGAACTTTGTGCCAATCTCCACAGCCCGCATGGTCTCGATCTTGAAGTTCTCCAGGATCTGGGATGGAGAGGACACAGCGGTGGGGCGGGTGGGCTTTGGGGACACCGCGGTGGGGCAGGACCCGGGGTGACCTTCGAGGCCACTCTGAGCCCAGCCAAACCAGGATTCCACAGGGACAGACTCCGTGGCCACCGTGCTGTCCCTTTGTGTCAGGGACTCCATGGGGACAGACCCCGTGGCTGCTGAGCTGTCCCCTCACATCAGGGACCCTGCAGGATGGACCCCGTGGCCACCACACTGTCCCTTTGTGTCAGGGACTCCATGGGGACAGACCCCATGGCCACCACGCTGTCCCTTTGTGTTGGGGACTGCATGGGGACAGACCCCATGGCCACCACACTGTCCCCTCATGTTGAGTCTGCACAGGGAAGGACCTCGCAGCCACCACACTGTCCCCTGTCAGGGACTCCATGGTGACACACCCTGGGGCCACCACGCTGTCCCGTCACAGGGGACACACGTGACAGACCTCGCGGCCACCATGCTGTCTGCTGGCACCAGGGACTCCATGAGGACAGACCCCGTGGCTGCTGAGCTGTCCCCTCACATCAGGGACCCTGCAGGATGGACCCCGTGGCCAC